AGGATTGTGTGAATATCATCATCGGCATCACCATCTGCTAAAATATCGGCTTTATACACATATTACTTTAACTGTAGCAATATTGTAACTCTCAGTCAATGTATTGAACCAGAGCCATTAAGTGTACCAAGTTAAGTGAACCAGCTTGTACAACAAAATGTGTAGAAAAAAAGTGTGTAATAAAGTGAAGTGAAAGTGAAATAACAAAGGTTGACATATTTGTAGAGGAAAGTGATATTTATTTTGACCTACTACCTACTATTTTTTATTAATTGGCACTGACAGTTTATAGAAGCCATAACTTATTCTCTCATTTGTGGCCTACTTATAGTAAACCAATTGGAAAATCAATGTTAACACATTTCAGTTCAATTTCTTTACAATGTAATTAAAATCACTTACATCACAGAACATTATTGTGTTTGCTACCCTGAAATGAATAAAATGAAACTTTATCACCATCACGTTTGTAAATTATTATTATTATTATTATTGTGGCCCTTTGCTGCGTGCCATCCTCTTTCTTTCCTCCCTTTCCTGTCACTATCAATTATAGGCAATTAAACCCCCCTAAAACGGCACACTTCCTGCACAGATATAAATAGCCAGTTATTTCCCACGGGAGTTGGTGGAGACCACAACTGAGCTAAAAAGGACAGTAAATAATTGACTTATATTCTTCAGATGGCCAGAAATACAACGTTAATGTTTGTTAATGTTGCTCTCTATCTGCTGGATGCAACTGCTTTCTAACACATTTGCTATATTTATAAAGTGATGTTGTTGCGCTGCCCCTAAGTGGCCAAAAAGTCAGTTAATGCAGTTCTAAGTAAATTACACCTTAAAGATCATTACCAGTAAACACTCACCAGGGCTAAACTACTACGACTTAATGTTTTACTGTTGTGATAACTGCTTAATTATGTCCATCAAAGAATAAATAAAAGAATAAAATGGATTTTAACATATTTACATTGAGATTAGATTAGTTACTTGAGAGCGAACATTTAGACAAAACACCATCACATGACACAAAAAATTGTTGTCCTATACATAATATAAAGTAGAATGATCTAAAAACAACAAACTTCAGTAACCCAAAACTTCATAAAATACAAACAGGCATATCAGAAACATTTCACGTGGTCTCAGCAGGCATTTTAGTGGAGTAGAGACGCAGTCAGAAAGTGGTTTGGATATAGCACCGCCGCAGCTGAGTGTGCTAAAAAAATATTACCATCCTGCTCTGCTCTGTGCGCAATTAAAGTGATTTATCAAGATGTTGCGGGCTACCTCAATACATTGGGCTGACAAAGAGTGGCTGATAGTAACATGTACATCATATGACATACTGCAGTGCAGGAAAAAAGGCTGACGTCACTGCAGCAAAACCTTTAATGGAAGAAGCTATGGCCTGGCTTATACAGCGGAAACAAAGATGTGGGCTGATCAATGGAAGTAAAGGAAAACATGGTTCCTGATTACATGGTTCGCATTAATGAATCAGAGTGAAGTTGAAAGTGAAAGTTGAAGACCGTTACATTTTGTCTTAATGTCTGTTTTTACAGATTTTTTAATTTGTCTGTTGTATTGTTGTACTTGTATCTGATACCTACTCTGAACCTTTCTCAACAAGACTTTTTAGGATATTTATGCCAAATTGTATTAGTTTGGTTTCAGTATGCACTGCTCCGTAATTTCACTGTCTCCCTCTTTACTTCCATATGAATATCCTTCCGACAGACTGTAACACTGCAGTGCTCCATTACAGTAATTACCTAACACAGTCGTTAATCTTTCTTGACCGTTAACGTGTCTCTCTGTCGCATGTACCAAGTGTTGTTTGTTCACCGCAGCTCCACTGGAAGGCCGTCATTTTTCACAGATGATCTCTATCTTAGACCTGACAGCTTTCCCGGATCTTTACCAGGCCTGCAGCTTTTAATAGGTCACAACATCCTCACCACTTGTCCCAGTCAAAGTAAAGCAGCATTACTGGCTGAACTGTCACCAAGCTGCAGGAATTGGCTTCTCTTTCCCAGATAAGCAGGCTGACTTTTACAATTCTCAAGTCCTCTCTGGACAGTGGACCTGGAGATGAGTCAGCGCCGTGACACCACCCAAGCAGCCACATAGCTCTGATTAATTCGACTCTTTTTTTGCTCACCACTCCCTAGCAACTGATCTTAAAAAGGATGCAGTTTCCTTCATCCGTCCTCTGCGCTGCAGAAACCTACCACGGTCGAGGATGTAGCGATAAGTCTCACTGCAGCCCGCAATCAGCATCAGCAACATTACTCAACTCTGTAAATTAAAGCCACTCTGTGTAGAATTTAAACAATTACATATTTGGTGCATCCCCCATAGTAGTTATAGTAGTTAAACTACTAAATATTTAGAAGACAGCTGTATTCTGAATAGCTGAATTCTTGAATGAATACTTGATGAATGAATAACATTGTTATTATATATTTGCAATAATCTTCCTGTAGCCTTAGTTAACATGTGCAGATATTGTAGATGAGTGAGAATTTAAAAAAAGAAAAAGAAAAAGAGGACATTGTCACTGAAGATAATTCAGGGTGTTCTGCAGATTGATGTTCTTGTCTAGCAAAAAGGGCTTTAAATGTTGAAGGATGTGAATGACATAAAATGACAACTGTAAATGTAGTTAAGCTAATTTTTTTATGCAGCATTGCTCTGTGCTGTTCTCACTGCTCATAAGAGTAGTTATCGAAACTCCTGTTTAGATCTGAAACATGACACACATACTGTGAGTTCAATATGTGGAAATGTGAGCAGACATTCGAGCCTCATACTGTCGAACAAGCATTATTGAATTCATGGTTCCTTTGGGAATTCTCAGAGGACCAGAAGGATCAATCGCTAATGGTAACATCTGGTTGATAGTTAGTATTACTGACACAGTCCAGTTTAAAATAGTTGAACTGTGTGTTTTTTAACATGTGCGAGTGTGTGTGTGTGTGTGTGTGTGTGTGTGTGTGTGTGTGTGTGTGTGTGTGTGCGTATCTGACATACATGCTGTTAATTAAAGATTAAAAATGCAGATAATCTTTACATGATAAGAAACCTCGACACATGGGCAGATTGGAGCAGGATCGGGTGAAAGAATAGAAAGTGAGATGTGAGCTGAGCAGAGAGAGTGAGACAGAGAGTGAGACAGAGGTGGGGGGAGGGAGAGGAGAGAGTTACTGACCATAAAGCAGGTTGATTAGATTACAGAGCTAAGACTAACATGGGCCATTTATTACACAGAAAGCCAGACCTCTGCAGCAGCAGCCATGCAAAGCTACAAGGAGGAGAATCAAGTGTGTGTTTATGAATGACAGTAAAATAGATTACTATATTTTTACTAGAATCAGCTCCAGATGCTCCATTAGGAAGAGGAAACCCAAAGTTAAATTTAATCAGAAAAAGCGATGAGAACCGGTTAAATAAAGGCTGCTGATTGGTGTGTGTGTGTGTGTGTGTGTGTGTGTGTGTGTGTATGAAAGAGAAACTACATGACATAATATGTTATATTTGTTTGTGTATTATATTAAATAATAGTCAGCATAAATTGACTGGATTAAAGGTACCAGGCTTCACAGGGGACACAAAGGGAGCAAAGTGCCACACCCAGTCGCCACAGAGCATGCTCAGAATTACGTCAACTTTATATGAGATTGGTAGCCTGTCTGCAAACCTCAATTAAAATGACTATGGACACACACACGCACACACACACACACACACACACACACACACAAAGAGAGAGAGTCTGCAGAAATATTTGAAGGTGCTGCCTCACAGTATATTGCCAACATTACTGTTACACTTTTGCCCAACAGCTTAATGTCCCCCTCAGTGGTTGATGTAGTGATATAAAACTGTAGAACTTTACAGTAAATCTTCAGGCCATTGCACCTTGTTGTTTGCCAGCCTTGCAAATGGGATTTACAAATCTCTACAAAACGACAGTAACTAACACATTATTAATGTTAAACTGAAAAATTATAATTTCATTTTATAAAGTTAAAGGTGATATAAAGTGGTAAGTTTGATATTGTGAATACTGACTAGCTAATAGAGCATAATTAACAAGTGTTGACAGCTACTTAAATAGTTGCTTTTAAAGTTACAATAACCTCAGAACAACACAGCATTTTAATAACCTAGTTTGTGCTTGCTAAGTCCCTGGACCTGCTGCTACAACAGCCACTATTCTTTGACATCTATGTAACTCTGCCAAAAAGCCACTGTTCACCAGAAATACCAACAAAGTGGTTTGACAACTCTTATTCTAAATGCGATCACTGATCTAGTGCATTTCAAAAAGATGGAATAACTGCAGAGTCATGGCTCTGCCCCAGACGCCCAGAATGTCAATAAAGTATTCCATTACTGTAAAAGGAGAGAGAGACAGAGAGACAGAGAGGAGAGGGGAAGGGAGACAGATGTAGGGGAGGGAAAAAGAATCAAATCAATGTATCCATGTGATTCAATTTAGGCCACAATTTCACAGTTTCTTATTGAGAACCAGGTAACTAAAACCATTGACGCTCACATTTGATAGTAAAGTTAAGGGCATTACACTAGCAGGAGTGAAATCATATAAAGTATATTGGAATCATATGGGGAAACAATCAAAAGTGGCTGACTAAGAACCAGTGGAAAGTGTCAGCGAGGGCATGATGGTGGGCGTGAGGAGACATCTTTAGTAATCAAAGCAGTAATGTGGAAGCTGTTCTGGCCTTGTGCCAAGTGCTCTGGTTAAAAGGGTGGAACTGTCGAGACAGACAGAGAGCAAGACAGAGCACACACGCACCGGAGCGTGAAAGCAAAGAGAGAGAGAGAGGCAGGGTCTATCTCTGAAAGGTAGGGAGTGGCCAAAGCTTGTATGCTGATGAGTGATTGAGAAAGGAAGGGTTCATGTGGGTGGGGTGATGAGAAATGAGGGAGGGGGCGGCGAGAGGATGATGGGATAGCCAGCTTGTGTGCATAAAAACCCCCGGCACTCTTCAGTCTGATGTCCTGTTGCCTCACGAGCATCTCCAAGCCTCCAGCTCTCCTTCTTTCCACAGCGATAAAGAACAGAACAAGACCAACCATGAGCCACTCTTCAATGCATACCTCCACTTCCTACAGGCGCACCTTTGGAAGCCCACACCCCATCCCCATGTCCTCTTACTCCCCTGTGTCCTCCCGAATGCCTATTTCTGGAGGACGCTATATGCGTTCAGTGTCACCTATGGTTGCATCTCGCTCCACCACCTACCAACAACAGCGTTCCCGCCCCACCACCCAAACCTCTCACATCTCCTACGAGAAGGTGGACTTCGGCCAGGCTGAAGCCATCAACCAGGAGTTCCTGACCACCCGCAGTAATGAGAAGGCTGAGCTGCAGGAGCTCAACGACCGCTTTGCCAGCTTCATCGAGAAGGTACGTTACCTGGAACAGCAGAATGGTGCACTGCAGCAGGAGCTCAACCAGTTCAAGGGCCAGCAGCAGCATGGTCAGCCCAACCGCGCCACTGACATGTTCCAGGAGGAGCTGAGGGAGATGCGGCGTCAAATGGACGCCATCGGAAAGGAGAGAGACCAGTACCAACTGGAGAGGGACAACCTGGCTGAAGACCTGGGCCTGATCAAGCAGAGGTTGGTACCAACATGATGAGAAAGAAAAGTATGATGCATGAAGACAGATAGTGATAGTAGAGAGAGGGTTAGTGCATGGCTGATAATGTGAGAAGGGTGAAGGATAAAGTGAAAAGCAGTAGTAGTAAGAAGAGGACATTTTTATGATTGTCTCTTAAAAATAACAGAACCATTACAGAGGATGTGTCTATAGAGAAAGTTGCATCCTTTTCAAGCAAACTGTATTGTCCTAACACAAATCAACAGTTTCCTCTCCTCTTCATTCATTCATTGTAATATAAGTTTAGCCATGGATGTGGGCCTCTACTTACCACCAATGCCACCATCACATCATTCATTGACACTGTAATAATATAGTGTACATGGCCCACTTCAAGCACACAGAAAGTGGAGAGTCCCCGGGGTGATGGTGGTGTAGGGCGTGGCACATCAGCACACATGGACATCACAGTACGGCAACATGATTCAGGACACTACACTGCATCTTGCGCATGACACTGTTTCTATGTATGCATGTAAATGTTTATTGAATGTCTTGTGTACTGGCAGGATTCAACATAAAGGAAAAGTGACCAAAGTGAAAACAGAAGCCAAATATAAGGAAGTGTTTGGCGATGAATGCTTCCCTTAAATGATAAAAACGTATTGACTTTTAGAAACATGCACACATTGAGATGAGTGGAGAAAGGGATGGATGGAGCAGACACAGGGTGGGGCTGACTGAGGGGCAGCAAGGGGAGAGAGAGGGGAAGTGGAAGAGGAAGAGAGGCTGGATATCAGGCGTGGTGAGAATAGCGTCAGGAAAAATCAATGTGACTCAATGACTCCATTAGGTGTGTTTTTCAGTGTCCCTCTGTACTGATGGGATGGTGCCAGAGACCCCATTAGGACAAAAGGACCCCTGTAACACAACATGAATTAAAGATGAGCAGGCAGGGCCCACTATGTGATGCTTTCCCCACTAATCTACTTTATGTCCAGTCCAGGCATGACTTCTGTCTGACAGGACAGACGGAGCTGGATTCAAATTCAGACATCGACCAGTCAGCCCAACAGTAAAAGATTGTTAGCAGAGAATGACAAAACTCGTGTTTTGTACATTGTAATATAATTCATGATGACTCACCACAGTGACTCATGAATTATAACTGAGTTTGCTAAAAAATTTCATTTTCATTTCATTTTGCTCGTTTTTGCAGGAGCATTAAATTACATTTAGGCTGAAGCCAATCCACAAATGTCCCAGTTTGCTGAAAAAGTGCAGTTTTTATATAGCTGCCCTGTAAATATCACTCCCATTATCCGAACAGTTTTTGTCCCATCAGTGTGTGCTAGCCAATATTAAAATGACCAGTTAAAATCTTTAAAGAGAGGGGAAGTGTGTATACATAACCTTATTGAGTGTGTGCAGACGACCTTATTGAACTGTAGAGAAACCACATTAGTTGAAAGGAGCAGCTGCTGATCCCACTGGGTGCACTCCCAAACCCTTTTTACAGGACAGTGAATTAACAAATTGATCCAGAAAGCTTTTTGCCAGCTGATGCCCTGGTGCAACCTTAGACAGGATGGGTGTTCTTCGACAAATCCATCACATTCTTCTCTTTACCCTTTTTGTAAAAAGGAGATTCTTGGAGCCGGGAGGAAATCTGTACATTGATTGAAATATTTTGTCAAACTCTTTGTCCTCAAGGTTGGAGGAAGAAACCCAGAAGAGGGCGGATGCTGAGAATAACCTGGTTGCCTTCCGTAAGGTAAACACTGGACCATGATTAGTGTATTGATAACAGTGTCCTCAGGCTCGGATAACAGGTCAAAATGGACAGTTTTGTTCCATCTCCAACACTATAAAATAGTTTCGCACTATTAGGACAGATTTCTACAATGTCATTGATCTAGGCTAATTTAAATATTTTCCCCCCAAGGTTGCCAATTATTTATACGAGTCAAACACTTTTACTCTTTTTCTCTTCAGATTGTTTTTTATTCTAAAAATGTGACTTATAACCTGAGGTTTACCTTTTTAAGAATTTCTATTAATAAAATTGTTGTACCATATAACAACCCTAAATATTTCTATACACTAAAGAGAACTTCTAATGACAATGTATTCACATAATCTGTAACATCAGTCGTTATATAACATACTCTCAATCATTTCAGCATATTGAAATGTCTCATTGAATATCTCAGAGACACTGTAATATAATTTTAGAATGATGACGTTGACACATTGTAATTATGGCAACATAAACTGTGTTTGTATGATTTCTAGGATGTGGACGATGCCACACTGTCCCGTTTGGAGCTGGAGAGGAAGATTGAGTCTCTGATGGATGAGATTGAATTCCTTAAGAAGCTCCATGATGAAGTAAGTGAGGCTACCTCCTCTGCACTTTTCCACCGTGCTTGCATGAATGGAAATGTTCTTTCTCTCAGGAGTCACCTATCACAATGTTATATAGAGACCGATAATGGAAATAGTATTTGTGGTAAACTAGTAGATTGACTGATTGCCTGCTGTGAGATCATCCCAGTGATTAGCTGACCAATAGAGGAAGAGATGCTGCAGAGAGTAATTTTATGTGACGCACTAGTCTGCTTCAACTTATTTTATACAGCTACTTTAAATTTCAATTTTAGATCTGTAGAGCAAGCTTATCTGTGAGAACAGGGGGCAATATCTACAAGGGAAGTGAGTCTCAAGAGAGAAAAGAAAAGATTATTTGAGTGCCGTCGACACAGAAGTTGGATGAAATGCAATGTTATGTGACTGTAATGAAGTGATGGTTCGTTAATTTAATTTTTGAAAATATATACTGACCATATTTGTCCATATTCTGGTATTATCAGGAAATCCAGGAAGTACAAGTGAGTGTCCAGACCCAGCAGCTGAAGATGGAGGTGGACAGCAGCGCTAGGCCCGACCTAACTGGTGCTCTTAGGGACATCAGGGCCCAGTATGAGACCATTGCCCTAAAGAACATGCAGGAGTCTGAGGAATGGTACAAGTCCAAGGTAGGCAGACATACACAGTGAGAGTCACACATGAATGCTGCAAACACAAATTAATCATTGTGTGTTTCATCTTTTGTTCCTGCAGTTTGCTGATTTGACTGAATCTGCAAAGCGCAACACTGATTCTCTGAGGCAGGCCAAGCAGGAGGCCAATGAGTCCAGGAGGCAGATTCAGTCTCTCAACTGTGAAATTGATGCACTGAAGAACACTGTGAGGCCCAACACCACCTGTTATTTGTCTATATTAATGTATATCATTATGTCCTCTTATTGCAGTGGTCCCCAGTCTTTTTCCTTAAGGGACCCTTTTTCTATCATTGAGTAAACAAAAGACCTCCTGACAAGACATATTTTATGGATATTTCATATTATATTCAATATATATCAATGACAGTACAGAAAAACTGATAAACTTAACAATTAACCTAAATAGTGAACGCAATAACTTACGGACTTCTGTGTAAAATGAGCGATTTGGACTCATTTTGAGCAGATTAAAACCGTACATACTGTGAATAGTGTGTTCAGGTCTTCACCGTGCCCTTATCCCGTAACCTTTTTTAAAGTGTAAATCTTAAATGTTAACCTAAACTTTAAAAAAACCATAGCTGGGTAAATTCAAATTCAAATTCAAATTCAAATTTTAAAACGATGCAAAAACTGCTGAATCATAAAAGCAAACTAGAAATATTATTAAGTGGGGATATACAGCTGCTCTATAAAACAAGCCCCGTCCCCATTCAAATCGTTTTGACCATTATAATTTACTATTTTCCCACAGTATCCAAAGAAGGGGCCCCAGTGATAAGACATTACACATGTGGTGGTGATTCTTTGTTTGTTGTTGCTAAATCAGATATCACCTAGCCCTATTGATAAATAAAAAATTCCATTTAGTTTTCTTCACAGAAATGAATGAAATGCCTTGATATACGCCTTTATATATTTTCAAAATGTTCTGCGCTGCTGTGTTGTTTCAGAATGAAGCTCTGCTGAGGCAGATGCGTGAAATGGAGGACCAGTTTGGTAATGAGATTGGCAACTACCAGGATAATGTAGGCAGACTGGAGGATGAGATCCGCCACCTGAAGGACGAGATGGCTCGCCATCTTCGGGAGTACCAGGACCTCCTCAATGTTAAAATGGCTCTGGACATCGAGATTGCTACTTATCGTAAGCTGCTGGAGGGGGAGGAGAGCAGGTGAGGGAGGACATACTGTGTTTCTGGTCCAAATTTATTATGTTTTTACATGATTATTATTATAATAATAATATTACTGTAGATTTCTCTCTAAAACCCTTTCTGAATGGCGTTGATGTTGGGGTGCTCCAGATAATCCAGTTTTATGTGAATATTAACTAATAGTACATCTATTGTGGATTTTCTTGTGTTATAACTATCTTTATGGAAGTTCTAACACAAGATGTTACGGTTTTGTTTCTTCCGTCTTTAATCTAAGTCAATTATAAACATCAGGGTAATTCATTTGCAAATCTAACCTCAAGTAAAGCAATTTACTTTTCATTACAAATTTGTTTATAACACCCAAATGTTATATTCTCTGTTCAGGATTACTGTTCCCATCCTCAATCTTGGCATGAGCAATCACTTTGGTGAGCGAGGTGAGTTATAGTTCTCTTTATCCAAGATCAAATATAACATGATTAACGTCTCAGGGATCACTTTACTGTTCAGTTAAAGAGCTGTGAGGTAGGAGGAGCCACTGGTTCTGGAAACGGTTTCCCCCATTCTCTATTCTCATTTCAGTTTTTTCGTCAAGCTATGTCTTCGATATTACTTAACAGAGAAACGCGGTACTCTCCTGGATAATGTAACCATGCTGTAGGTTTATCTTATAGCCTCATTTCTCATTTTTTTACTAAGAAATCATGTTGTGTCAGTTTGGTACAGGTGATGGCTTGAAAACTTAAATTCCCATGAGCCTCAGCCGCTGTTGCTATGGAGCAGAGACCTGAGTTGTAGCAAAATCAATTAATGTTTCATCATTGCATTGGAACAAAACATGGGGACGCAGTTGCTAAATGCATCCAGAATTGACCCAGAATCCAAAAGTAAAAGGATTTAAGCTTCAAATCGTATTGCCAATTTTCTGACTGATTTTTACTTCTGGAACCAGGGATCCAATGAAACAGCTCCTCACACGTTGCTGCTCTATATCTCTACAGCTTATCACGGTCCATTAACAACTTATACAACCTTTTAAGTGAATCTTAAACTAGGAATTCCTAAAAGCAAAAGTATTTTGTGAATGAAAATGTTTCTGATTGTAAAAAAATCTCATCAGTGATTTAATCTGACTCGTCACAGAATATGAACAAACTCCAAGCAGCATGAGCAAGAAGACTGTGGTCATAAAGACCGTTGAGACTAGAGATGGAGAGGTACAGTGATTTATATAAAAAATAACATGACACAATGCAAAATAACTAACTTGGTACTATTTGAAAGTGTGCAGAAACATTAGAGTTACATACATACATACATACATACATTTATTTATGAATTTGAACAAATGTGTTTCTTTTCACATCAGGTGGTGAAGGAATCCAGGAGGGAGAAGGAGAGAGACTCAGACCGCTCTGGTATAACCGATAAGGACGACAAGGACGAGTAGATAAAACCTGATTAGAAAATGTGAAGGCCAGAGCCATGAGGGAAAAAATACATAAAGAAAAAAAACTGGAAAAAAAACAAAAACAAACTCTGATCTATATAGTCCTCATTCCCAATAGTTATGTGTTTTATTGTCTAGCAAAGGGTCTCTCAGTATAGGTGCAATGTTGAATGAATTCCCTTAGACAGTGTCACTTTGGTGCTATTTAAGCAACTCAACTTTTGCTAAACACTTGTTGTGTCATCTGTAGGGCTAAGCAAAACCACTTTATTAACATACCACTTGAGGCCTTGATTTACAGTGCAATCCCGTGAAACCCTTAGACGACCACTCGTTTGTAGCAGAATATTAAACTACAGTCTAAAATAGGCAGTTTAACTGCAGGAGTTCAGTAGTTTGTGTTGTAGATATGACTTACTAACAAAACTTCAGACACTGCCCTTTGGTCAACCTACCTTAAAACACAAACTGAGAATAAATTATCCCATTTGCATTTGTTTTAGAAGCTTTGCTATCCTCTTATTGTGCAAACCAACAAAACACCCAAGATCTGGATAATTAATAAACATGTAATGCACAGGAGATGTTGACATTGACAATATGATAGTCACCAACTGAAAAGACTTGCTGAATGTGCTTCGCAATGCTGTGTGTATCTGACACAATTGATGAATGAATATGTAAGTGCAAATAAAATTAATTGGAGCAAATCTGTGTTTTCTGTCCTCATCACTCATTATGAATCCACTACAAGAGTGTTTTTACTAATGCCACCTATTCTGTAAGCTGTGTTTAAGAGCCAGTGTCTCGCCATAACCTGCTCTTTATGTCCAAGACAATCAGAATCAGTGGCAAAATATAACATGTGCAAGGAATTCCTATAGTATTTTTTTTTTTTTTTTTTTTTTTAGTATTAGTAGTACTTATTCTGGTTTGTTTACATCACATGGTTGATTAAAAAAAACTGTGTGCTTGTTTAGAAAATGTACAGTACCTTCACATGACCTCTCTTCTGGTTGTTAGATTCCCTCAGAGTTCTTCATCAGTGTTTTAGATGTTCATGTCTGCTAGTTTCAATGAAGGAGATGGTCGGCTTCAGTATGGGGACATAACATGGATAAACTGTATTTTAATAAACCTTTATAGAAAAGTAAACACGGTACAATTAGTACACCAAAGAATGCAAATTGTTATTTTTTTTTTAATGTTAAAGTAGGAGGAGCTCTTTGTACCTTTATATTGTAGCCCTAAGTAAAACCTCGCAGGCAACACTTTCAGCTCAAACTGCACCACTAAACTCTCAACACATGGTACATCCAGACGTTAATTATCGTTAAGCTCACCCTCTTTGCCTCAGCCTGTCACTGCCGTTGTATTGCTTTTGGTTAGTTTGGCGTTTGTTATGGAGGTAAAGCCGAGAATGAGCTGCCTGAAATACACAAATCAGGGCATAGCGTCATCAGCGGTGACGACATTCCACATCCGGTTCCTGCGTTTTTTGCTCTTGGCGCGAGACTTGTCCTCCGCACAGGACAGCAGGTTGTAAAGAAACATCGTCCTACTGATGGAAAACCTCCAGACTACATTTACCACCGGTTGTTGAACACGACACCTGTAGAGTAACAGCATTTAAACCACTTGGTAAGTTAGTCCGTGTTGTTTTTCTTTATCTAAACAGTGTCTCGAGTCTTTGCGCCGTCTGGCTGCTGTCAGCTGAAGCTAACTGGCTACATAACATTAGCAATAAGTGGAGAACTACTGTGCTTTGTCGATTAACAGTTAACTAAAGGCCGTGGCTAATATAAACCCTTAAATAGTTTACATATACCTCATAATAACAAGTTCGAGTTTGATCAGGTTAATTTGACAGGTAACGTTACCTGTCAGTAGTAAGCTGAAGATAACTAGAACTCAAACTGAAGATCTTCATCAATGTGACAGATGAGCCAGGTCAACATGTAACCCATTAGCAAATATTTATTGGATTGAGCTGTTCCTGAAGAATAACTATGGAGTCCATAGTAAACAAAAAACACAAGTTTGTCAACTACAGTTTTATTTTACAGCCCCAAAGTCACAATTTACCACAGGGTAGCTTTACAATTTGTACAACAATCAACACCCTTTGTCCTTCGTCCCAGGATTCCTAGGACGAACAGATACGCAATAGATTTGGACTGTACAGAACAAACCAACAAAATCACATTGTACAATTTGTGATATATGAAGATTAGAAAATATATGTGACAAATGTGGATCCAGGAGCACAAGGAATCAACTTAAGATGTCACCAACTGAGACTTATGAGCTCCTATCCACCATGGAGACGTTACGTTTTTGAGATACTCTGTTGATCTTGATCTGTTGGTCTTTCTGTATCCGACTGTATGACTGATTAGACTAAACCTTCACTTCAGGCTGGCTGATGGTGTGTGGATTTATTCAGAATGAATTGCGAGCTTTTGGCAACGTGCACTGCTCTGGGCTATCTGGAGGGAGACACCTACCATAAGGAAGCTGATTGCTTAGGTGAGTTGTTTTTAAGTTAGTTTTAATCAAAGGGAAGGGGAATATATTAATGTAATGGATTAGGGACAGAAAATAATTTGCTCCTGTCCCCTATCTCTTCTGTGCCTGTATTGCAGAGAGTGTAAAAGACTTGATCAGGTATTTACGGCATGAAGATGACTCCCGGGACGTCCGCCAGCAGCTGGGTGCAGGCCAGATCGTACAGAATGACCTTCTACCTATTATCATACAGCATGGACAAGACAAGGCCTTATTTGATGCCTGCATCAGGTAGAAACCATAACATAAAAGTTTTCTCTTGAACTTGAAATGTATGATATGGGCAAGACAAATAATCCTTTTGTTAATGTATCATAATGAGATAAAGGGGACGGTTGAAACACCAGTTCCAATATTGTGATACATTGTTGCTATATTTGTACTACGTAACATTATTGTATTAAATTTACATTAAAAAATAGATGGCTGTCGAAGTTGCTGAATAAGAAACTGTTGCTCATATGACTCTTGTCTGTTTTTTCTCAGGCTCATGGTCAACCTTACTCAGCCTGCCATGCTTTGCTTTGGTAAAGTCCCTGATGACCCCGTGTTTAGACATCACTTTTTGCAAGTGACGTCTCATTTACAAGCCTATAAAGAGGTACTGTGCTCTCAGAAAATGTAAGATGAAAAATGGTATTGTAGTTATACTATGTAATGACATTTATAGAGTGAATATGTATGGTTTGAATAGATTCTGGCATTAATTTACCCGTAATTAATGTCTAAAAGTATTGTATTGTATAATAATTATTGCTTTTATGTCTTCTGCTATTACTTTCAGGCATTTGCCAGTGAGAAAGTGTTTGGCATTTTAAGCGAGATATTATACAACCTTCTACAACTGGTGAGTGCTAAAAAACCTCACCTGTTTCCTACCTTATATCAGTAAAAAAGGTTCTGTTTCTCCGTATGTTTCTTCCTGTCTATACCTACTCACTTTCCTCTCTTTCAGGACTGGGAGCAGAGACAGGAGGAGGATAACCTGCTGATAGAGAGGATCCTACTGCTGGTCAGGAATGTGCTTCATGTACCTGCAGATCCCTGTGAAGAGAAGGTTGGCCTGAATGAATACCAATGTGATCATATAGGAGGCAGAGCTAAATCCGTCCTATGTTGGACTTTATAAAGCTCTTTCCTTTACCCTTCATCTCACTTGTACTCTTCCCTAATCTCTATCTCCTGTAGAAAGTGGATGATGACGCCAGCATCCATGATAGGCTGCTGTGGGCCATTCACATGAGCGGCTTCGATGACCTGGTCAAGTTCCTGGCATCAGCCCAGAGTGAGCAGCAGTGGAGTATGCATGTGCTGGAAATAATCTCCCTCATGTTCAGAGACCAGGTGAGACTAAAGAACTCTTTGCAGGTGCACGTCTAGATCTCCGGCTGTTCTGTGTTTGAGATCTTTTTCTTTCCTTTACAGACGCCGGAAGCGCTGGTGAGCGCCGGTCAGGCTCGTTCGGCTGAAGAGAAGCAGAGAGACTCTCAGGAGTTGGAGGCACTGAGGCAGAAGGAGCATGCAGCGAAACGTTCTCGCACATTTCAAAGAGGAACCAGGTACCATGTAGCTGATACACAGTCACCACTTAAAAAACTGCTTCAGTAATATTAGGGTTAGGGTTATAATTTAAACCTCTAAAAGCCTACACAATTCACTGGCTGCATTTTTGCATTACATTGGAACCACAAATGTTGATTCCAGAGACAAAATGTGTTTTTATTCTTCCCATCTTTGTCATAAAACCACTGTGGTATTTATGAGAAGCATTTGTTTCAATTAGATATAAATTGAGGGAAACAAACTTCAATGGCTTATTTGAAGTACTGCAGCTTTATATAAATATATGCTCTTTTCTTTTTGTCTGTGTGTGTGCACTGATGTTTTTCTTTCAGACACTCTCGCTTTGGAGGCTCCTATGTCATTCAAGGCCTTAAGTCGATTGGGGACAAAGATGTGATTTATCACAGAAACATTCATGATGTGAGTCATTAACTCTTGCAGCTCATCTGTGATACAAAGCAGTCGTATGGTATACAAATCTTCTAAAAGTTTTTTTTCTCTTGTTTTTCAGTTCAAAAATTATACCCACGACGTAGGCAAAGCAGTGAGACGTGTTCCCAAAAAGAATCGACAGGCTCAGGAATGTAAGGACAAACGTCGTTCAGCCTTAAATGTTCGACTCTTCCTGCGAGAGTTTTGTGTGGACTTCCTGGAGAACTGCTACAATCGCCTCATGTACCTTGTCAAGGTCAGCTGCTGTGACATTAATGACTTCTTTTTTCTAGCACAGACTCACAAACCCACCTTAATAAGGACTCTGTTTGTTGAGCAGTATACAAATATAAAATAGGACGCCACCATACTATCATCAGATACTTACAGCACTGTCATTATTAAATCTGTTCATAACATATTTTATTCAGAATATGCATTAAAGAAGCCAAAGATGTAGAAAAGTAAAAAAAGTAAACTTTACAGGATGCTAGAATACTTTAATCAATATGATGTGGACCCACAGAAAGAGCAAACAAAAACATTGTGGTCCATTTGCTGTTGTGGACGAACTGAGATAGAATTCCTTTTATAAAATTACATTACATAAAATCCTTTTAAAGAGGATGTTTGGTATGTTTATGTGTAATAGGTGACTAACAAGTGAATCATTCTTTAATCACTGTGTACATTTGTTGATGATCATGTTATAAAACTAACAAAACTCTTAACAACATACTTCCTTGTCTCCTCTAGGAAAGTCTAATTCGAGAGCAAACTCAGCAACATGACGAGACGTACTACCTGTGGGCGCTCAGCTTTTTCATGGCCTTCAACCGGGGAAATGGTTTCCGTGCTGACTTAGTTTCTGAGACCATGTCCATCCGCGCTTTCCATTTTATTGAGCGCAATATCACCAACTACTATGAGATGATTCTCACTGACCGCAAAGAGGCAACGTCCTGGTCCCGCAGGTAAGCAGATCATTCTGAAGTGGGTTACTTGAAAGATTTTAAAACTGTGCGTTGGTCCCAGGCTGATTATCAGAATCAGAATCAGAAATACTTTAATAATCCGAGGGGTAAATTACTTATCTTACATATACTCCAATAATATATATTTATATTAAGATTTAAAATGTACAGTT